AGAGTGTCCCGCAACCGTGTCCCACGAGAGTGTCTCACAAGAGTGTCCCTTAAAAGTGTCCCACAAGAGTGTCCTATAACCTATAAGAGTGTCCCACAAGAGATCACAAGAGTGTCCTACAAGAGTGTCCCACAAGAGTGCCCTACAAGAGTGTCCCACAAGAGTGTCCCACAAGAGTGTCCTATAAGAGTGTCCCACAAGAGTGTCCTACAAGAGTGTCCCACAGGAGTTTCCTACAAGAGTGTCACACAAGAGTGTCCCACAAGAGTGTCCCACAAGAGTGTCCTACAAGAGTGTCCTACAAGAGTGTCCCACAAGAGTGTCCCACAAGAGTGTCCTGTAAGAGTGACCCACAAGAGTGTCCTACAAGAGTGTCTCACAAGAGTGTCCCACAAGAATGTCCGACAAGAGTGTCCCATAAGAGTGACCCACAAGAGTGTCCTATAAGAGTGTCCCACAAGAAGTGTCCTACAAGAGTGTCGTGTAAGAGTGACTTAAGAGTGTCCCACAAGAGTGTCCTACAAAAGTGCCCCGTAAGAGTGACTCACAAGAGTGTCCTACAAGAGTGTCCCACAAGAGTGTCCTACAAGAGTGTCCCGCAAGAGTGTCCTACAAGAGTTTCCCAAAACAGTGCCCCGCAAGAGCTTCCTACAAGAGTGACCCACAAGAGTGTCCTACAAGAGTGTCCCACAAGAGTGTCCTACAAGAGTGTCCCACAAGAGTGTCCCACAAGAGTGTCCTGTAAGAGTGCTCCACAAGAGTGTCCTACAAGAGTGACCCACAAGAGTTTCCTACAAGAGTGTCCTACAAGAGTGTCTCACAAGAATGTCCCAGAAGAGTGTCTCACAAGAGTGTCCTACAAGAGTGTCATTTGGGCATATGGAACGTGTTTGCATTCGGGTTCGTGGGCTCCATCTTGTTTCTTTGCTTCGGCCATCAGACACGCACAGCCGCGACAGGCTTCAGCCTGAACAAACCTTCTGAGCTCTCTCTCTCTCTCTCCCCCTCTCTCCGTTGTTCCCAGCGGCTGGGCCCAGGAACGCATGTGCCGGCCACCTCTGGTCTGGTCGTTACATCCCCCAGCTATCGACGTCGCCTTCTCTTGGTCGCCGCGCTGAGAAGTGGCCATGCAAGTCGCCCACCACGATAATCCTCTGTTCTTGGGTTCTCCGGATACGTCTCGGGTGGTTGACACTCGATCGGAGAACCTCGTCCCAACTGGGAGACGTGCGGCGACTGCAACACCCACAGGGCCTTCACCCAACGGAATCATCGGTCGCTTTGACTATATAAGTGGCCTTTCCTACATTGAGACAAAGCCGTCGCAAACCCGTTTCATGGAACATAGCCAGAAAAGAGTGTTGTTTACCTGGTTCCAGGCAAAGCAAAGCCTTGCCCCCTATTTCGGTACGAGATGGTACGAAGTCACATTGGTAAACAGGTCTAAGGACCGGTCCGTTTCAACAAGAAATTGCTATTCCAGGTTTCAGCATAATAGATTGCTTGGGTTTGATGCTCTTATCGATTTCCCAATGATTTCTCCCATGACATGATCTCCTATGGAATCTTTGGATGTCCTATCCGCTTTGATCTTGGCAGACCGACAGCCAGCATGCGATCTTTTTTGAACAAATCAAGAGCCGCGTCTTCTTTCACTTGGGTAAAGGCTCCAATGTTAGGAGTCATGCCCCGAAATGTGTTGCGGCAAAATGTGCAATTGGATGCAAATGGATCCCTTTGGCACCTCCTACGACTTGTACCTCCAAGCCTGCACTCGAGGAGAAGAGTAAAGTTGTTGCCCTGAGCAGATCCACAGATACTCTCAGTCACTGTCCTAGTCCACAGGTATGAAAGCAATGGGTTGGGGCAGACTGGGCAGTTCGTTAACTTCGGCCATTTTGCCGGAAGCTTTGCAAGGAGCTTTGGGTTCATGACAAGCTTGCCAGGCTTCCAAGCATTCATTCCAGCGAGAGCCATCAGAGAAGACAGAATGCTTCTTGCTTCCTATCCATTGCTCTTCCAGATTCCTCCTGCCTTTTGTCCTTTGCTCTTCTTTGTTGGGCTCTTCTGTCTTCCTGTCGTCCTGAGCATTCAGTTTCCTCAAGAGTTCTACACCGCTGGGGGATTCTGTTGAGCAGACCGCCAAGAGCGAGATGTCCTCTGCGACGAAGTGAGGGAGGAGATCTTCCGCCTTTTGCAACGCCTTCTCCAAAAGGAGCGACGCCGAATCCTGAATATGCAAGCTGTGCATATGAGACAAATGCGCATTCTGCGAGTTGTTTGAATGTTTCAGCGCAGCTGCCGACCAAGCAGTGCGGGCCAAGCTGCACGCTGAAAACTCATGGATGCGATCTGTGACCGATCGAAGGATCGTCGAGACCAGTCTCAAATCAAGACGAGAAAGCGTGGCGGAATCCTCTTGGTCACGGAGGGCACAAAGGGCACAAGCACCAGCCGATTCCTCCAGTTTCCTATGTGAGACCTTTGGATGGTGTAAAATGGCATGCACCTGCCACAAAAGTCTTTCCACTTCGCCACCTTCCTTCAAGCCTCGCAAGGAGTTCGACAAGAATGGTAGCAAGCGTTGCAGACTGGCTGGACTCGAACGAGGTGGCTTATGAAGCTCAGCAATGAAACTATTCAACGCCAGCAGTGCTTCGCGCTGTTCAGGATGCTTCTCTTGTTGCAGGGCTTCAGCCACATCGGGTGGCAAATGCTTCAAAGGCAGCGAGCCGCAGTCCTTCGCGTGGTTCGACTTTGCCACACTCTGCTCATCAGAATCATCCTCCAAAGTCTCCCATTTCTTGTACCACCTCTCAAGCGGTGCCATGTTGCCATCGGACGTCACCGCTCCCTGTGAGCCATGGCAAGGCCTGTACCCAAGGCCTGTACCCGGCCCTTTTGGTTTGGTTGTGATAATTGCTTGAAGTGTGTTCAAAGGGGTCAGGAATGTGCATGTTAACATGGGATACTTAGTATTGCTTTGGCAGTTAATCTTTGTGATGTGCATTCCAAGACATCAAGATTGAGCCAAAAAGCAGTCTGCCTGCATGTCTCACCAAGATGTCAAGTCCTGAACATGGTGAGCTGTTGAGCTCTTGAGCTGTTGGACATGGTCAGTCAGTCAAAAATTGCATGTTGGTGAGTCTGAGAGGACACGGACATTGGTGAAGCACGTGGGTCTTTGTGGCCGTGTTTGGCCCTTGAAATCGGGCGTGAAACGCCCGTCGCTTGCTTCAGGTGTCGTGCCCAGCCTGGCACCAGCCTCTGGTTTTGGCACAAAGACCACGTTCTGTTCCTGGCTCGGGCGATCAGTCTCAGATTCGATGGTCATGGAGCCTTCATCCAGAGTGGAAAGCAGCTATTGGTCACCGAGAAAACAGTGCCTTGTGACAGGTACCAAGTTCTACAATTTGAGACTTTATATAAGTGTTCCTTCCGGCACAAGTCTCTAAGACGGAACTATCATGGACAAAAACGCTTATCTGTGTGAATCTTGTGTCAGTCACCCACATTGATTGAGAAAGGCTGGAAATCCTTGGCTTTCTAAGAACCACCCATACCCACGAGCAGCAATGCAAGCCATTCTCCTTGGAGTAGAGCTTGATCACAGAGGAACTCAGCAGGTTTTTTTGGTGGACAGACTCTCTGCGAAGCAGAGTGACTGAATGGCCATGAAAGTCAGACAAAGCCTGTCAAACAAAATTCCTCCGATCCTGCCACAACCACGCTGATGCTGTCAGATCTCAGGGCTGGACACAATCCATCTACAGGCCTCGGTGTCGGCGGAGCATGCTTTCTTTTCGGACTGGCGCACCTGAGTTGGGACCTGTCAGGGCCATACCGGGTATGGCCGGTATGGCATTTCGGTCTTTGACCAACATGACTTTCCGTCGATGTCAGTAAAGAAAGAATCCAAAACGTTCATGCCATACCTCCGTCCCGTCACTGTTGCCAGTGGCTCCTTTCTACACTCCCGGGCCTCCATGTTCGGAAGCCGCCGGTTTTGAAGTTCATTCCTCGGCGGGCAACGCTCGAACATGAATGAGTCAAATGTTCCTTGATAATTAGCAAAAGCTGGTGGGTAAGCCTCTTGCCGATTATGAGATAGCAGCTACAGGATCAACTGGGCAAAGTAGTGGACATCACTGCAGCTGAGCATCATGTCTGGAATTTGAAGCTATCTCACATCTCATTCTGCAATTGGACGCATGAAAAACAAGCGTTCTGAGTCACTTTCTACCATGAGCAGGAAAAGAAAAAAGAAACAGAAAAACAGTTTGTGTTTTCTATACCAAATAAAGACCTGCAATGAAAGGGCTGACTGGTTTCGCTGCTTCAGCCGGTGTTTGGTTCAGCCCTCAGCCTGAGATCCCTGACCAAGCTGCTTCCAATTCCCAATCTGACAAAGGCCTCCCGACCGTTCACGAGATCAACCAGACTAACGGCTGAAATCGTATGAAAATGCGGCAGAAACAGGAATTCTGTAGGTCTGTGGGTCCAAGCATGACAACACGTAGTAGAAAGCACACCCAAAAAGAACCTAGCCTTCACGCACGAAAAAGAAGAAAAGGAGTGAAGAAGAGTTTTCGTAGCGATGTTCACCTCTCGAGTTTTGAACACCCTGTTGGTGGCCTAAGCCTTGGGTCTTGTTTTTGATTGTTTTCGGAGCACCCACATCCTTTTTTTGCAAAATGGCATGGTCTTGCGAGCGCTCGCAGCCAGTCAAGCAAGGAGATGTCCTGGACGGATGGAATGGGTCTCCGATCCGACCTAACGGATCTGACGGACCTTCGTCGACCAGCTACACGGAAAAAAAGGTCCGTGTTGTAAGTCATACGTTGAATTATGTGTTTTTTTTCATATGTCCGGGGTGTGGGAGGAATGACAAACATTGAATTGAATTAAACATTGTGTCAACAATGGTTCCTTCAGTTCCTTCAGTTTCAACAATTGTATACAATCGTATTAAAAACATGGTCCTTCACTTCCTCATCGGATCATCGGCCCAGGCCCAGGAGATCCGACAACGTCGGCTCCGACACCTGAGCAGTCCGGTGTCTGTGCGGCGAGGACGTGTCGAAACCCCACGAGCTTGGAACGTGGCAGCGAGGAATGGGCCCCAGGAGCCCCGAAAACGTGTTCTTTCACGAGCATTCCAAAGTGTTCTTTCGAATGCATCAGAGTGACTTTTTGGTTCCGAACAATTACTCCTTGTACTGTCTAAGCTTGTCGGGTCGTTTCCAAGTGATGTCTATCCTTTCGAGTGGTGAAGGAGTGGGGAATCCGTCCCTTTTCGGTTCTGCCATTGGTGCGACTTCGAGCTCTTCGCTCTTCGCAGCGCGGCTGTTCCAGCCCCAAGCCCAGGCCTTAGGCTCCTCTTCTGGGGAGACCTGCAAACGCAAAGTGCTTGTTGATGTAAGAAAATGGACGACAATGCGAAATGTGGGAGGTTGGTCAAAGTTCTTCTTGCGCAAAAACAATCCGATGTGCAATTGGGTCCCTAAAATGGACACTCCCAAAGTAGCACTGGAAATGGTCTTTCATTCACATCCTTGGCAAAACCATCTAAGTCGTTTACCTACAAGATGACTCTTGTACGCTTGGTTCGAAACCTCCTTCCCCGGCCTCTACAACGTCTTCCACCACTTGCAGCACCTTTACAAGGAGCCAAGCAGATGGAAAAAAGACACCCTACCTTCTTAGATGATGAAAGGATTCGAGCAGCCTTCGGTGCATGGCTTCAGTATCGTTTGGAATTTCGGGCAATCCTCATTCGCAAAAAATGGAACTTCATTCATACATTCACTACTCATAGCTGGGTTCGGGAGAGCCCCCAATCAGTTCCAACTCCGTGGGCATCATAAAAGGCTGAGAACGGGCACCAAAAGGATTTCGAAAGCTTCATGCACTTCGCAGCAAAGACGTCATCGTTACACTGTGGCTTGCAGTGTGGTTCCGGTGAGCTTGCAATAAAGGTTGACACAGAAACGTGCAACTTGCTTCAATTCGAATGCGCAAAGGTCCAAAACAACAGGCCTGTCCGTTGCTTGGCCGGGCTTGGTTCACAGCCTGGCAAAGAGCATTGGCCCTCAGGTGCTTTAGGGCTTTTGGGGGATTGCCTTAGAAGTACCAGCCACACGGACACCTACAAAGCATGAAGCTTGGAGACCATAGACAAAGCCTCTGAGTGAGTGACCTGCGATGTATAGTCATACAGTCTTTTCGAAAGGAAAGCATGATGTGTGTGGATCCGGATGTCTACATCCGGCCCCCATCAAGCAGGACCGGGCCACAGCAGCTTTTGGAGCAGGGGAATCTCTCTTCCTGCGTTCGGCTTGGCGGGTTGACATATGACTCCTTCGGCCTCGGATTGAAAGCGAGCGCTCTTGAAGCTGCGGCTTCGATCATGGGTCATCGATCATAATTGCCAACAAACATAAATAGATCTAATCATGGATCATAGCAGAACCATGTCGTGCCACGTCGTGCAAGCTCCGTGGAACTCTTTTTTGTCACGGAGTGACCTCCCCACCAAAACGCGCTCCTGTAGCACTCAGCTAAGCTTAGCCTGGAGCCGGAGCGGGTGGTGTGGCATCCACAGACATCGTTTTCCGGCAGATCCACAAAACAAAATGTATGATATACATGTGGTCACCCTGGCATTTCGGTTGCATGTGGACACCAAGGGTGGCTAAGTCAACTGTCCAACCCCGTCCAATGTCGATCCTCTTCTGGCCAGGAGCATTGTCAGCAAAAAGGCCTCGAGCACTCCGTCAACGATCCAAGCAGACTTGTTCAATCTTGGAATCAAGAAGCTTTAGCTTCTGCAGAAGAATACAGCTTTGCTGTTTGTATATAAAACAAACTGTTGCTTTCGCGCAAGTCATCGGGTTTGAACACCAGGAAAAAGAAAAAAACATCGAGATCAAATGAGATGTTTGTGCAGATCTTTGACATCAGCAGACTTGTATTCGTCCTGCATCTTTCTTAAAAAAAAGTTTGCTTCTTTCCGTTTTGTCTGAGCACTGAGCAAGGATTGCCTTCCATACTTACTGGCACTGGCAGTGTTTCTTTCCCAGTTTGCAAAACCACACTGTGCGAGCCTTTCAGATTCGCCGTGCTGTTTGACAAAAAGTCTTGACAGCCGTACTACAACAAACCACACTCTTCGCTCTGGTCTGGACTCCTCAAAGAAAGAGGAGATCACAAGGGCGCTTTTCGGTGGAGGCCATTGCTGCTAGTAACAAGAAGCTACGAACGTAACAAAGGGCATCGTGAGAAGTCGGGTCTTTGGGCACCAAGGCACCAAGCATTTCATGGGACCCGAGGCCGCCCATCGCACCTGAGCCCAAGACCTTCGAGCGTCATACCGATCAAGTCTTCTCCAACGACCAGGAAGATGTCAGAGCTTGGGATAAAGCCTGAGCTAAGGGCCCGGAGAAACGTTTACTACCCCTGTTTACCAAAAATCCGTTGCCTCATGCTTTGCGGTCGACCTGCAGTACCTCGTACCCCAAGAATCTCGTCCCGCTCTCTCCTGGGCTCTCCCGGCACCACTCCGTCGCCTCGACCGAAGGGCGGTCCTTCGCCGAAGACCGGCCGAAGGTCGCCGGAGAGTGATGCTCCGCGCGGAAGAGTCCTGAGCTGCTGAGCCGCCGCTGAAATGGATGCCTTGTCCGAAGACCAAAAAGGCAGAAGGAGAAATGGAGAAATCCTAATGGATTCGTTTTGGACGAATCTGATATCCAGAAGTGTCAATGACTCATTTTTCCCCAAAACTGGTAATCATAATCCACCACTTGTAAGCATTTTGGACTTCCAGGAGTACGGGAGCCGATACCCATCGTGACCGCCATCCGTGACCATGCAAGGCCGGCTGCTGCTGTTTGCAGGACCCATCCAAACCTGGTGGGGCCCCCCATACATGGCAGGAGCATGGAGGTGCAATGGGATTAAAATACTGAGCAATCAATTGGATCAGAGCTTGGACATCCAATTAGACCAATGGACTTCTCCTATTTGTTCTACCATTGTTCTCTTGTTAAACGTCCAATCCGTTGGTCGACCGCCAAGGCTCCCAGGGCTCGCTTTGGCCCTGAACCGTGTGGCTCCCTCTCTGCGACCGCTACAATGTCCTGGCACTGAAGAGTGTGAGATGGGCTGCACTATGTGGCCTATCCTGTTGAAGATCACTATACTCCTCGCATCTCCTCGCACTATGAGATGGCCTCCTTGCACTATATGGGTACTATAGGCTGCTGTACTATACAGTAGTTGTCAGTCTTGATGAAAATCAATGCAATCCATCAAGCACGGCTACAGTAGCGCACTTTGACTTGCAAGATGCAAATGAAAAGCTTGTTTGCGAGGCGCTGTACTTTGAGGATTCAAGCTCAAGATCTGAAACAACCCGTGCAAACTCACATCGAACACAGGTCTTGAAAGGGAAATCGGTCTTCCAATGTCTGAATTTCTTTCAGGGTCTAAACTAATCTATGGGGGTCTGATTGGACCCCGTTCTGTTCTGCTGGGTTCACTGGACCCGGTTCATTAATCCAGGTGCAAAAGACCAGACTAAAGATGACGAAGACCCGGCCTTCCACATCACATGAGCCAACTTCTTGACCTCACACAAGTAAAAAAATGTGTGTAAAAGCGATTTGTGGCCTCAGGATCTCGTGATCAGAAACAGCATTTGGCCCGGCTTGGCGTGTTGGCACCTCGGGATCCGCTGCGGGGGCTGCAGTGTCCTGAGTAGACAGGAAACGCTGCAGTGTTGGGTCTTTGTGGGTGTGGAGGGTAACATTGGGGTCACATGGGGTCACGGTTCATACTATGTAACACTGCCTATTGAAATACACAGCCATGGTAAGTTTGATGAGCAACAGCGCTTTTGCGGTGCTGTCGGAAGGTTCCTGCCTCGCCCGATGGCAGGATCGCTGCCATGGCTTTCCTCCACTTGCGGGCCCACCTGCGGCGTTGCTGCTTGAAACATGCGCCGGGCCTCGCTGAGCTGAACCCTTGTTTGCCATGTGAACAGTGAGCGATCGCTCCAGTTGAGCGATCAGCCAAAACACATGCTTAACGATTTAGGGCCACTCAAGCTGTATTCCACCCGGTACCACGAAGGAAAAGGAACAGCACCTCTTAATGGATTGTGATCTTTCACGAAGACCACCGGGGAGAGCAAAAAGGTCGCCAAAAATTAGATTTGTGCCTTGGTTCGACTAAGTGACCTTGGCTCGACTCTGCTTGCAAATACACGTGAGGTGTTCAGAAGAGATTCCATAATGACATTCAGCACACTGGCAGTGCGACATGCAGATCTGTCAATAAATATCGCTTCAAAAATTATCAAAAAAAGGTAGGCCCAGGACCCCAAAAAAGCGTTCGGTCTGTAGAAGCAGGGCGTTCGGGTTCGGACAAACCACCCCCGGTCGTTCGGCTGCCTACTCCGGAGCGCTCGAGCAGGGCTTCGACTGCGGTCGATGCCTGGCATGGGCGCCGGGCAATGCCTTCTGCGTGCGTTTCACGCAAGAACGGGTAAACGATGATCCACCCAGGAGGTTTCGGACCCCCGTGCCCCCCCCCAAACAATGTTGCAGGCACCTGCCATTCCAGGTGGATCGTCAGCTCCCACCATCCAGCAGCGCTGGTAAATCTGCTCACGCAAGTCCTCCAAGTGTGCGTGACTCCACCAACTCCGGAAGTGAAGGCTTTACGGGAGTGAAACATCGACGAAACCCTCCGCGACTTAGCAGGAAACGGACAAATCGAAACAAAGAAAACCTGGATGGCAGGATGGCTGAGAAGCTTGAGAAGCTCAAAGCGAAGTGCAACGAGTTACGCACTGACTTGGGCCCCATGTGGAATCGAAGGCGTGGTCTGCCCAGTCGCATGGTAACACCTTGCATATCCTTGCACGCATGTATTGTGTATATTTCTATAGTGTGTATTCTTCGAATCTCCACGATTCGAGATTGGTAGCCGAGAACTATCCGGAGTGAAGGGCTCAATCGCTAATCAAGCAATGAACTGAATTCTACACCTTGGTTCCTGAACCCCTGGCTCAAAAGGTGCCCCGCACCGTCTCCACCGTAGCCAGCCCAGCGCAGACCTTTTCCTGGTCGAATCGCCCTGCGATCGAGGTCTGCGCTGTCCACCGATGGCTCCGAAGTGTCGCCAAATCATTGGCTGTCCAGCATGTTCCCCGTGGACAGTTGCGATCTGATGAGCAAAAACACCTAGCATACTGGACCGGCTTTCCACTGCAAGGCAAATACTCCACGGAGTATTGGCAGTATCCCTGCTTTGAATCTACTTCCCTTAAGCGAGATTCAAGTGCTTGTGCAGTCTTCGCTGACCCAGTATGGCATGGAGGTGCACACATCACAAACATCAAAATGAGCTTGCAATCTATTTAATTACCGGAGGGTCGGACGACTACTTGCACACACTCACATGGATGGGGACGGCTTGGCTTTTCACATCATCCACGGTGCGCTGCGACTGGAGCTCGTGGCTACGAAACCCATTCATGCGAGCTTTTCTATCAGATCTGTTTCAAAGGATTTCTTCTTCGTCTTTCAGTTGGTATCGTCCTATTTGCATGACTTCTCGAAGAGTGGAGCTATCCATAACCTTGGTCAAGCACTCGATGGTGCCCATCTTACACTGACCCCAGTGGCCAAGTGTTCTTTGATGAGGCGAGCTCGGAGGAGTGTCCTAAATTCTTGGCATGCTGGCGGCGCTGTCTGGCTGATTAGATCATACAAGCTTTTGCAATCGGTTGCAACCAGGGAGTCTGATTTTCCAATTACCCGAAGCTTCAACAAATTTTCACTTAGTGATTGATTTGGATCTGGTTCAAGTTTGGGTTCATCTTCGAAAGCGGAAAAGGCCGGGGGCCAGCGCGCTAGGCTCTTGTCACCTAGTCTCCATTGGCATGATTGACCGAGTAGCCAACCCCAGCGGCACCATGCCAAGAGGTCCATAGCCCCTTTTAGCAGATGCCCAAATCAGTGGATTGACCACACTTCGTTTGTTCTTTCCAATATCTTGGTGGGAAGTCATGGTCATCAGTCCTTGGTGAGAGGATTGATGCTTCTCTGACGCGAGTGAGGCGTCCGAAAACCTAGTTCTGTCAAGGCCTTGGACAGTTCTTTGAACCACAAAAGCGGTGCGTTCACTAGACCGTAAGCATCCTTCAAAAGACGGCAAACTTCATTGGGTTGGAAATTCTTATTTTCTTGTCAGGTCTACTCCAAGTGTCCGTTCATCAGCCCGTCCTCTGAGGAATGCTGTTTTGATATCGAAACTGCCTATGACCCATTGGTTGGACACGATTGCAAAATCAGGCTTCGAGACAGTTTGGACAACGTCGGGCTGTCCCTTTCCAGATTACTGAGTTCTGGGTCCTGCTACCCTAGAATCACCAAGCAGGCTTTGGCCTTGCGGGTGTTGGTTCTTGCAATCAGCCCCAAGGTGCGAGTTTGGTTTCGGAGTCTTTCCAGGTTAAGATCCATCTACACTTCAAGATGTTTTCTCTTGGGATTCGATGTCTCGGGAATCGACAGACTGTTTGGGTATCCAACCAACTCCGGAGTTCTTTGTCCTTAGCTTCATCGAAGAGCTTGCGCTCGGCGGGACTGAGGGTTGACAATGTGACTTCTGTTTTCTGTCTCTTTGCGGCAGAAACTACAAAGGCCATTTCTTCTGGTCTGGGATCATACATCTCTAGGTCTGTACGACTGATGTCCACCTCAAATCATCCACAGGGATGGGAATTGAATGTTCTCAGGAGCTGGAATTTGTGGATTGATTTCTGTTTCTTCGTTTGGAATTGATGGTGTGTATTCCGTGTCTGATCTTGGTTGAGATGGGGCTGAACTTTCGGCAGGACCTGGTTCTTGATCAGGTTGGTCTTGATTGGCTTCTGAGATTGGATTTCCTTTCATATTGGAGAGGTCTACAAAACGGGTGTTTCCAGCTCTCAGTTGGTCGAAAGCACTCTGCGTGTGACAGGACTGGACTTATGTAGGTTCTTCACGTCTTCGACAGCTGGCAAGGGACGCGCTGTCTTCTTGCGCAATGACTTTCAGAGGGGCGAACCAGTGGTTATCTTTTCTCCATGCCATTACCCAATCCTGTGGGCGATAAACAGTCCGCTGTGGACGAGACCGTTGAGACACTGAACGGTGAAGGGCTTGCATATTGTCTACTGAGTAGAAGGCTTTCCTGGCCCGCCGCCAGCCGTTCTCGGAACTTGACACCTTCTGGCGATTCGGATAGCGCGAGTTCGTGAGGTGCACTTGAATCATCGCTGGAATTGGGCCCGGGACATTTACTGAGCTTGCCGAAGACCAACATTTCTGGAGGATATCCTTTGAATCTGGACCATTTATTCTTAGTTTGTGTTGCGAACGATAGAGCTTCTTCTAAGTCTTCTTCCGTTTCAATCGGTTTCTCTTGGTCCATCTTGTCAAGAATGGATTGCGGTATACCCCCGTGTCTTTCAACTCTACAGTTTTGCCAGTGGGCTTCGGGAGCGATCGTTCGAAGTCCAACAATGTCGTGTTCCTGCAAGAACTGGTCAAAAGCCCCTGCGCCGAATTCTGTTCCAGCATCGACGACCAAAGCGCCCGGGGGGCCTGCCCATCTTTGAGAACCAACGGCAGTGTGAAAGGTGGTACCATGATCAACAAAATGGCTTTGGTCCTGCGTGATTGGTCCATTTTATACCATCCATGCCTACGATATCCCCAAAGTCAAGGTCAGCATGTATGGCACTTGGCTTTTGGTTTCGGCACATGTTGAACACCTCAAATCTGGAATGGCATCCAGGATGCCTTGGGGGCATCCGAGCTGTTGACAAAAATGCTTCACTTTGAGGGGACTTGGGCAGCCCATGTTCTTGTGCACCTTGAGAATCCAACTACGACCTTCCGGTTTGAGGTCTAACGTTTTTGGTCCATGTTTGTCGGCTACAAGATCAATGGCTTGTCTCATGGAGTCGAGGTCTTCTTTCTTAAGATTCTCTTCAGGGTTCAACTCCGACACAGGCACGACTGGGTTCGAGACGTCCCTTTCCGGAGGGATCTCAGGCTGAACTAGTCCCCTGGCCGTTTTTGGTTCGAAGGATCAAGCAAGGCGCAAAGATTGTCAATCCACACCGTGACGGTGAGCGCGGTCGACGCATCTTCCGCGCAGAGAGACTTTCCCAAGGTTCCCACTGGTCCTCAACCACTACTTCTTCGAATCTCCTACGAATCCACACGAACTTTCTCGGCGGCGCGTCTCCCGAGAACAGGCGCATGTTTGGGCCAACCATTCTGCCCACGCCTCGGCAAAGTACAAGATGATGCACCTTCTGTTGGGGACATAACGTAACTGTTGAACCTTACCTACTCTACACGCTTCTACGTTGACATCTTTCATGACATTCTCCCATGAAGGATCGGCTATTAGCTGGATCTGCATGGTGTTGCTTTTCTGGGTTAGCCGACGACGTTTGGTGGGATGATCTTCTTCGGATTCGCTCGGCTGCATTGATCAACATTGGATGGGCTTTCTCTGGGCACTGGATGATTTGCCGTGCAAACTTTCGTGGGTACAGTTCAGTGAAACTGGACAATGACATGCGTTGACCCTGAAAAAAGTTGGTTGACCCGGCAATTTGAAGGCGTGCATGAGACTCATTGCACTTCCTATTGTGGAGGTTTTGATACAGGGTGTGAGATGTAGCGCAGGCTGTCAATCCCTAACGAATGGGCTCTTGGGGTTGAGGCTCTCTCAACTTTCCAACTCGGCAAAGGTCAAAAGTGCTTGGCTTCGTTCGGCTCAGAGCTGGCTGGAAACATGGGAGCTTAAGCATGTGCGAACCTTGAGGTTGTTCACAATGAAAGTGGCGGTCATGTGTCACTTGATGCTCACACAAAAATCTAGTCAAACTGATCTGCCATAAGTTCTCTTCCCGATTTTTCAGGATTGTATCTCGAAACATTGCGCTTTTGCTCATATTCAGACCAGAACATTGGCACCATGGTCCACAGGTGGGACTGGTCGATCGCGGGCTGGCAAAACAGGTTTCGGCGTCCTACCGTGGTGCTTAAATCTCCTTCTTCAAGGCCGAAGCGTTTGACCAGGAGTCCTTGCTGGAGCCCTTGTCGAGTGAGTTCGCTTTCTTTGGAACACATGACTTCAAACTTCAAACAGAAAATGTGTTTGATGATGCTTGAGATTTGGAGGTATTCTTCTCGAAACTGTCGAAGATACTTCAAACATTGTCGATTGTAATGCTGTGGGTTGGCACTTGCAAAATCGAAGTCAAACTTGGCATCTCCGACAACATTGGCGGCCTCACTCAGCTCGCATATGTGCTCTAACACTGCCCGATTCACTTGTGTTCCTCCTCCTTGACCAGCGTCCATGAAGTTTGTGGCTCCTGGTTCCCGACGGTTTTCTGCTCCAAGTGCTGGATTCTCGACGCGGCTCATGCGATAATCCTGTTGAGTTTGATGGGACAAAATTTCCTCCAGATGGTGCTCCTCCTTGTCCCAAATCGGAGCTCTGAGCAGAAAGGCGCAGGTATGGTTCGTTCTTCTTGGTCTTGATGGTGGTCGATGGGGCCGTTCCTTCGGAGAGACACATAGCGGAGGAACTTGCGACGCTCGCTTCTCTCGCTGTTTTCGTAGGCGCTGACAAACCATTTTGTCCAGCTTTGATCCGCGAAGGTCTCCTCGGAGGTCAAGCCCACTTTGGCCTTGCCAAAGTTGATGCGCATCGCTTTGAGTTCTTCCAGCGGGATCTGATCGATGCCCTGAAGTTCTTCTTGTTGGTGTTCTTTCTTGACTTCCTCTTGGAACATTGCCAGTTTCTGACTGAGGCTGGACGTGGTCGATACTGCGAACGGTCGGAGGCTGAATGCGGTCTTGAGAGCTCACGAGCTTCTAGGGTTGGTGACTGATCGAACAGACCTTTCGCCTCGAGACTGCCTTGACTGAGATTACTTGGCTGAACTGTTTGAGACTCAGGATTTTCGACTTCGGATTGGTTGGTCTTAATGCCCTGAGACATCGGCTTATGGGGTGGCCTAGAAAACACTGTTCTGTCTTCACTTCGGACGTCTGGACGGCATCTGATTGTTTTGACTCAAGCGGCGGTGGTCGAATCGAATGGATCATCTGGGATCCCTGTACCTGCACGGTGTCTTGGACAGCGAGGATGTCTTGAGGCTACAATTGATTGACGTTAGGAGGTTTGAGGCTGATTTGGTGGTCGTCAAAACCTTCCTAGAGCTTTACTCCAAAGAGTACTGGCTTCTGTGTCGATGACAGCTTGGATGGTCCTAAGGAATGCATTGGACAGTAAGAACGGTGTTTGGCCTGCAACAATCGCTTTGCGAAACCAAGTCCTGCGCACTGTCAAGGCCACCTTGCTGGTCAGCGTAGTTTGATGGTTACCAAATCGAAAAACTAGATGGCAGGATGTTTTCTTCACCTGTGCGCGAATCTCCTTGGGCAAGTTGCTCAACAATTCAGGAACCTCATTGCTGCCCTTAACTGTTTGCGACGCTCCCAAATCAACTACTCCTACTGAACCTTGGGAAGCAAACAGGTTATGGGTTCAAGAACGGTTGGGGCTCACGAGCCGGGTGGATCGTTGGCTTCCTAGCGCCGGAATCTTGCGAAGCTTGGTACGAAGTGACTCACGGAGACGGCTCTTCGAGTGATCAAACGCGGCAAAACAAAACTCTGTTTCTTGGTTCTGAGTTTCTGAGATCACTTCCGGAATGTCCTGTAGGCAGCTCTCAAGGTTCACCACGAAGGAGGTCGGAATCTGGTTCGGCTCTGCACTTCCTGATGTTTGGCGTGTCGGGCACTCGGCTTTCCAGTCTGGCCGCATGGTCTGCAGGCTGAGTTCGCGATCCTCTGAGCTAGTCCTGTGGACTTCCTTTAAATCCTTTTCCTTTGCCCTTCTTTCCCCCACTTTGAGGGTCTTGGATGGCCAGAAGCCTCGGGATCGAGACTTGTCCAACAGGCGCCGTCTGGCGTCTTGACAACTCACGTAGTACGTGGCCAGCTCCTTGTCCTCTTGGACGGCGTCGAGTACTGCATTCTCGAACCTGGAGGATCAAGGAAGCATCATCATCGTCATCATCATCATCATCATCATCAGCAGCAAGGGCCTCTAGGGTCTCTTCTTCCATGGGATCCTCGGCTTCCCGCAAACTCTTCGGTCTCCTCAACTCCGAAGGCCTGATGATCATAGGTCTTGAGGGCTTTGTCAAGCTTGCCAGAAGTGTACTCTTGAAAGGATGAGGGGCCCAACATTCGGATCGCTGCTGAGTCCTTCTTCATTTGCAGCTCTTCGCCGGCTTTCTCGGCGCCGGACTCTACCAAGACCCGCTTTTTGTCTTCCATGGAGAGCTTGCTGCCTCTCAGAATGATGTAGGCCTGAACCTCTGCTAAGTTGATCAACAGTTCAGTCCAGACCACTTCTGCCCGCGCCAAATACGAATCCGAACTCTCGTCCGGCTTCTGCGTGCACCTCCACGATATCGAACTTCTTCTCAATCTTGACTTTGCCAAAACTGGCCTCCAACAATCTCCACAATCTGGCGAACGCTGCCAACTGTGCCTGCAAGAAGCTCCTGCTGTTGAAGCTGCAGCTTGGAGAATGCTGAACCTTTGCAGTTCAGAATAATCCGGGTTGCCAATTCGCTCAAACAGCCTTCAGGCCAGACCGTGGCCAGCAGTTCAATCTTTTGAGTCCATTGTTCAAGGCTATCTGTTGCTGGGTCAAAGGTCGGGATCAATGCAGCAAGTTGATTTCCCGACGAAGACGACGCTCCAAGATCTATTGTAGATGAATGTTTTGATGATTCCGGCATGATCACAACTGTTCACAACAAAACTCGTCCTGGATGTCCCTCAGCGATCGCCCACGGCTCTGCTACCAATTTCGAATCTCCACGATTCGAGATTGGCAGCCGAGAACTATCCAGAGTGAAGGGCTCAATCGCTAATCAAGCAATGAACTGAATGTGCTCAAGACGCACCTGAAACGTGAGGCAAAGAATGTGAAGGGGAAAGGTGCGGAGGCATCTGATGTCTCAGCGGAGGTGCCCATCACACAGCCCCTGAATTCTACACCTTGGTTCCTGAACCCCTGGCTCAAAAGGTGCCCCGCACCGTCTCCACCGTAGCCAGCCCAGCGCAGACCTTTTCCTGGTCGAATCGCCCTGCGATCGAGGTCTGCGCTGTCCACCGATGGCTCCGAAGTGTCGCCACCCGCCCTCCCTGACTTGAGTGATCAAAAGGGCCACACGGTGCTCTCTCCAAGTGCCGATCGAACATGTGACAAGCGGAGACCCACAGATTTGACAGCGTATATATATATATTATATATATTATTATACAAAATAGACATTGATATTGATATAAGCGGCTGACTTAGGCTTTAGGCCCTGAAGTGACTTGTGGCAATGTTTTCATAAAACCTGTGTCATGGTGTCCTGTTTACTCCAACATGAATGGTCGCCATAGGCTCGGCTAGGCTCTATTTCTGTGATGTTTCTATCCAAAGGCTCATGGCCTAGGTCTTGTGTTGCTTTTTGCATCTTCAGCTTTTCCATTATGACGTAGCACTTCAGATTTGAAGCTACTTCCGCTAACTCCTATGTCATTAGCGGGCAGTATAGAGTCATGTGGTGAGCTTTCCAGGTGGCTCAAATTGCTGAGGCAGTTTTCCAAGACTCGCTGTCCTGCCACAAGACCAGCTCTGGAAAGGTCTCCGCAATCTTCTTCCACCCATCACGCGGCTTAGTTTCAGTGCAACGCTCAATGTTTAGAAGCGATTTCGCCCAGGTCTGTTTCAAGGGCACGCAACTACTGGCAGTGTTGTGCCTAGAGCAAACATTCTTCTCTCTCTCTCTCTCTCTCTCTTTCTGTCGGTCTACGTTCTCCATGCCTTCTGCTGCCAAGTGGCCAGCGCTCCAGTTCGTTTCACTTCTGCCTCAGCATCGACAGCGCGCGTACTGCGACTCATCTCAAGAGCCCAAGGCGCCCACCGCGAGCACACGGCTCAAGAGGCAAAGAAACTGAGCTCGATAGCGCCTCAGGGCAGGTCGGCAGGACACACTGCAGCTCAAGCAGCGGGTCGAGAGACTTGGCTTTGTGTCTCGTGCTCAGGGTCGAACTTAGCAGCACAATCGTAGGCAATACCTGGCGCAGCAAAGCCATTAAAAAAAAAAAAAAAAAAAAAACTGCAGTGCGACTTTGGTGCAAGATGCAATCTTCATGGCGATTGATTCTTCTGTCACAATCCAAAACCTGGTCCCGGCCACGTCGACCCTTCACGGGAGCCACGGAGTCGAAGGCGCACGCATCGATGGCGAAGCCATCGCTTCCAGCAGTTGAGGCCTACGAAATGGCGAGGACATCTCCAGTCCAGTCGACCCAAAGTGGAGAATTGCCCAGTGAGGTATTGCCCTTGATCTTGGCTCATTGCTTAAAGACTTTCTGATCTTTTGCATGTTACTTGGCATTTGGTATTTTTTGGGTATGTCCAAATCCCTTTTGGTCCATCTTCCAGCAAACAACCGAAGGGCCCGGAAGCCCCTTCTAGGCGCACCTGTCAAACCAAAGGCCTAGAAGCTCTGGTGCTCGACAGCCCTGCAGAGCGAGAATTGGGGCTGCGGAGAACTGGAGCACGGCAAAGGAAGAGAGGCGCTTCTTTTGAGGCCCCGCATGGAGAGAGTTCGCGCGCAGTCCTTCAGAATCCCTGCCTCTTCAATCCAAAATCAACCAACCGAGAAGAAAGACCAGGCCCGATCCACCTGCTGCCCGCCTGGTAGGTGCTGGTGAAGAGGGACAGCGCACGTCCACGCGCGACTATGGTCACCAGGCCCTCGCCTGCGTGGAAGCTGTTCCGCCTTTGCGCGAGGTTGACATGGCTGGACATGAAAGCTCACCGGTCTCATGTACAGAAGGAATGGAAACGAACATGAATTGGAAATGGATGGTTTTACCTCAAAACATCTTGCAGATCAGTTTTCTAGACTTGGAGTTAGAGTCTCTAGTGTTGTCCCACGGCCGCATGAGGGATGGGTCATGAGGGATGGGTGCAGCAAACAAAATGTGTGTGTGATTGGTCAAAACAGGTTTCTTTCCGCAAACATGGGATTGGGCTGAGTGGCTGGGCCACTACAAAATGTTAGTAGGTAATCGAATCATATAAAGTCCTGACCATCCAAACTTGGTGAACCTGGTTCCATGCTTAAACAGTGAGTTAAGAAGCTTTCAGGACAAACAATGCATTACTGAAAAACCTCACGCACCGCCAGCCTGCAAGGCCACAAATCACTGTCAGCAGGCGGCAAGCCTGGCTGGAAACCAAGATTGGACTCTCAAATCCAACCCGTTTCGAAGCGGGATCATTTTGTCATCAACCCCCGCATACTGCGTGGATTGCCCGGTGGTGGATATTCTGATATCTTTATGTGAAAAGAGTCCATTGCATCCAGATACCTCTAACTTGTTCCTGTCCATCGTCTTCTTCATCCTCGTTCGTACATGGCCGCGCCGCCACGCCTCCGCAAACAGTGGTTCCTGGGGCCTTTCCATCACACTGTCAGGTACCTCTGCGATTTTCGCATGAACAGCAGCCGAGGCAGAGCGTGTTGTGTTGTTTTTGCCGTCTGGTGGAGGGGAACGAAGGCTTCTGCTTTCAGGGCTCTACCACCTGGCCTGCTGGCTTGTGGCTGAGGCGAACCAAATCACGAGCCGCCGCTGCTCCTCAAAACTGTGATGGATGTTCCACTCACCAACTTGCAGGCCCCTGAACAGCAACCTGGTTGTGAACCAGTTCACGACCTTTTGTCCGAAGTATATGTGTCCCTCTCTTTTTGTTGGATCCCCTCCTTTCTCTCCTTAGAAATTGTTTGCAGGTGCCTGCCTGCATCAAAGAACACCAGCTCTTGACTTAACTTTACATGCCCTTGCCCATCCTTTTGTCACAGCTTGACTGTGCTATCCTCCAAGCAAAAAGCCAACAAAAACACTGACAGTGCAAGGTGTCCAGTGGTTCAACTATGTTAAAGTGGTCTCGGAAACTTCCATCAGAACCTTTAGTCGGAGTTTTCGAGACCTCAGGCGGGTGAACGATCCTGCAAGCCCTTGCGCAGTTCATCCGCGGCCTCGCTGAGGCGATGAAAGGCCTACAGCCGTGGCCAGGGGGCTTGGGTCCAAATCCTGATCATGGAGGCAAATCCACATGGAGCATGGCCTGTCTTGCAGAAGAGGGTCCATTAAGAATGGGGTCTACGTTTCATCATCCAGGATGAGTGTTGTACAAGGCTCTGATTAGGGGAGGTCGATTCTCTTCCATTGGGAGGTCGATGCTACACCCAGTCCACGACTTGATGCCGAGCAGTCAGAGTACCGTGCGGAGGCGACAAACAGCCGCCTGCACAGCCAATTCCTTCACATCTGTACCATCCTGTACCTACAGTTGTGGCCTCTTGCAAAGGGCAACTACATGTACTTTCCGTCCAATCGTGCAAAATGCATTCGTAGTGCCCCCCACTGGAATCATTAAAGCTCAGTAAAGTCCACCCATGAGAATACCTCCGGTGCATCTAGATTGACGTTGAGAATTTTCAACGTCTGCACTTTTCTGCCCCTCTTTCAAGGGTCCGCTCCCGACGGCCTGGTCAGCCTGTGCCAAGTCTGGATTCTTGTCAGGATGAAGCACCCTGGACCTGGTTGCAACACTGGGTGCAACATGGAAACCACACTCTTCACCACATTTGGTAGTAAAACAAACTCTTCACCACATTCGCTTCCGGGTATCGATCCCTCCGCTGATGTTTCCGCGCCCCTGCCATTCCTCCGGGCTCCAGACAGCTGGCGAAAAGAGTAGGCGATGTCTCCCTGTGGCACCAAGGACACGGTGCCCCCCAATCCGCAAAAAAACATGAAAAGTTCACAAAAACCTGACTCGACCTGTGGTGGACATTGGTCCCAAAATGTGGTCATTTGCCATCATCTGCATAACTGTGGCACCCTGAATTGGGGGCACCCAGAATTTGCAAAAGATTGTAGACTTCAGTGGCACATCACCACAAGTCCCGACGCCACGACGCCACGAAGTTTGACAGTGTGTCTATCCACGGTGCCCCCACCCATGAATGGACTCTTGACAGTCTATCCGATATCAGATATCCTTTTTATAGCCCGTTGCCCGTTGCCCTCACCCGTACTTAAGTAAGCGCCTACTTGATGAAGTAAGGGCCAAACATAAGTAACGGGCTACTAGCTAGGACACAAAATAGATCACGCTTCTTCAAGGAAGCTCTCCCGCCACCTGAGGGCGGGGGGGAAAGCTTCCTTGAAGAAGCGCTCGCACTATTCATTTGTTTCCTAAGTTCATGTCTGACAAAAACAATGGCCAGTCCGATCCTGATCCTAGAGAGCCCCTAGAGGATCAGGCAAAAGGATCCAGCACCCATGTATATATCAAATTTTTGTAGGTTGAAGCCGACCTTGAAAGCACTGAGACTGACAGGTCCTAGAGTTGAAGTCACAAGCCGTCCAGCACCAATTCAATGTAGACTCAATTGATAAAGCCCCACATGACCATAAGAAGTGCTTCAATCCAAATGAGGGGACATCCACCAGTACCCGTCGCAAAATGCGACAAGGGACCGAGTGGAAGCGGGAGCGGACCGCAAGTGCGTGCATCCAAATGAGAGGGGTTTGTTTGTCATGAGTCCGTAGCCATTTTGGTTCAAACCATTTTGGTTCAAGCCATTTTTGCTCAAACCAGGGGCCGGCTGATCCCTGGGAGTAGTTTCTTCCCTTTTGCATGATGGGTGTTCATGACTCATGACATCCAGTCTCCACAGTTGCGTTGCTTGAGTGGGGGGCAGCCTCCTCTCAGCTCATTCACGCCCCATGAAATGTTTGCGTGTTAGCGCGGCTTCAGCTCCCTGCCGCAGCACAACAAAGAGTCTGTGGGTTACATGTCCGACACCCGCAAGTGCTTCGGCTCACTGCTACATGAGGGCAAAGTGTTGGCGACCTACATGCCTGAAGGCTGGCGGTACATCGGCTCACTGCTACACCGCAACAAAAGTTGGTTGATTGCATGCTTGCAGGGTGGTTGTGCTTCAGCTGGCTATGGCTGAGCAGCCATAGCCAGCTGGTGATACACGTGTCTGTCAGTTGGTGGTCCTCCAGACCCTTACAGAGTCAAAACCCACCCAGTTAGAGACCTACAGCTTGCAAAGGGATTTGCGCCTGCATCCCACATGGAAGCGGCGGACGGGTGTTCGTCTTTTTGCCTCTGGATCTTGAAGCTGTATCGGGAACCAAGGCTCGAAACGCAATGGCATGAGCCGGTTCCACAGGTGTGAACAGAGAGAGGTGTGGGGGGGGGGTCAAACAGCCGGGCTTGGTGGCTCACACCTCGTGGCCCCCTCTCACTGCATACTCACATGTACTCTCAAAGCTTGCGTTGCGCTACTGTGCTTTTACCCAGACTGGGAAAGTTTGTTTCACTTGTTTTGTACAGCATCCACTTTCTCACTTGCTGCTGACCCTGACATTGCAATCACAGCCCGATTCCTTCAGCGGTCTTTTTGCGTTGTCAACATTGGCAGTGCCACTCGTTGCTTGGATAGTGAACTGCAAACACTAGATTAGATGTGCCTACCTAGTTTGGTCACCTCGGGTACCTGTGGGGATACTGCAGAAGGCGGGTGGGCGGACACCGCACACCCCTCTTTGATGCTGTACAAAGCTGCTGGACCCGAAGAGTGCTGGGCCGCAACGCTCACGCCGCGCACGCACCACATTACGTTTTCCTCGGCCAAAATCACCGGCACAGTGCACCACCCAAATGCGCCTCACCGTAGCCGCCAAGCTGAGCTCCACCCAGTCGCAAGACCGCCAAGGCCGAGGGGCGCTGAAAGCCGCCCTGCACTTCCAGCGCAAAGAAGCAAAGAGAGACGGATCAACTTGTGATTTGAGGTCAACGTAGTGGTGACACGTCTTGTCTTGAAAAGAAAAGAAGAGTCTATTTTCTTCTACACATCAGTGCCTTTGCATGTTCAAGCTGATCATTGGGACATCCTGCGATACAGGTCTGGCAAACCAACTGCTCATGTGCCAGGATCAGAAGTCAATGGCAGTCGAACCCTCCCGTAATGTTGGATCTAGTTGCTCTTACCATAGAAACTCTGTTCCATGATTCTTGTGAACCAAACTTTACTTGGAAACCAATAGGAGACCACCCAACCCAATGTTCAAGCAGCCGATCTCTGTCAAAATTGACTCAGTTTCACCTCTCTGAGCGCTCCGGATCCATGGTGATTCTATGTGATTTGCCCCACACCTAATTGCCCCTCGGAAGCCGCCGCACAATGCCCACTCTCGCCGTCCCTCGCCTCGCCGGCAATGCGGGAGACCTCCTCAGCTGCGGAGGCCATCAAGATCTTCTGCTCTCGGTGGGCCTCTCGCATCTCGGGTCGCGGGGCCATCGAACCCACCGGGACCGCCGTCCGAGTGCGGATGCCAGATCTTGTTCTTGTACAGTGACTTGTACGGGCATTTGGTTTGGTGACTGTGCTCATGTCTATCAGCATCTAGCAGTGACAAGGATCATTTACAGCCATAATTAGCTAGCAGCTATATGTAGCAATCGAAGAAGAAAAAAAATACCCTGAACCATCTGTTGCCAGCACCATTTGCTGCGGCAACATGACATCTCTCCGTGTTTTTTTAGCCGCGAAAGATCGCAGTTGAGTGACTTCTCTGGTCCCTGGAGCGCCTCACGGACCGCCGCACGCAGACCCTCTCGCAGTTGAGTGTCTGCAAACCATGCCTCATCGCAGCGCGAGAAGGGTCGTGCAGGTCGTTCAGCGAAGTTCCACAGATCGCCACACAGGATCGCTTGCAAAATATATACGTATTTATATATATATATATACCTGAGAAGGGAGGGGACGAAAGCCAGCCTCTGGCTTAGGGGGTGCTCTCAGGGTTGGCCCGGGCAAAGACTTGGCGCGCAAGAGGAAGTGATGGGGTAACATCGGGCAAAGATTAAATTCATGGGGCGAAGTTGACATCGCAGCCACACTGATAGGGGGTAGAAATGGACAGTAGAAGACATAGGTCTGGGGGGAAAAATGGAGAAATGGGGGTTCTGAGGAGTTCTTGTTCATCAACCACCTCGTTGAATTTCCTTGGCTCTTGAAAATTTGTGTTGAGCCTTTGTCGTTTTTCTGGGGTCTTGTTATGCATGTTTAATATTTAACGGTCATAACTTTCACTATCACTGCTGTAATTCAACCTGATTGTTTAGGTTCATTTGTTTTGTTGGTTGTGGTTTGGGTGTTGGGTTTATATTCCCATAATGCCAGTTTCATCATCCTCTCCATTTCTTATAATTTTCGGTTGTTATTTTCCTTTTGCTTTGTTTTGATGTTTGATGCTTTCCTCGTGTCGTTTGACTTGATATGTGTTTATGATGCATTCACACACCGGACATACTGATGTGTTTGTTCATTTTTGCTATAGTAGTATTGTCTGCATACTCTCTTAATTTATTGCGGTTTTTCTCCCTGTATCGTTGCTTTGCTTCCAGGCACAATTTACATTGCTTACATTCATTTTGAAATAGTTGAGTGGTTGAAAGACCTTACATTTGGAACATTGTTTTTTGTCAGTCATTGTATCCCTAGAAGTTTAAGGGGTTATGTCTTTAAATGTTTTTAGGGGGTTCTCTTGTTGTGGGGGTTTGTGTTTAAAGGATTAGTTCATAATATGTTTAGTTAAGATATTATGAATTAATCGCGCTTACGCTTTCCATTTTGCTATTCCATCCCACCAGTGTTCAATGACTCTCATTTGTGTTAGACAAGGTTTGTTTGCATCGTTTAGTTCATCCATTGCTATTGACAGAAGAGTTAGGTTTATAATCATAGCATTGAATTCTCCATCACGGTTGAGTTCCTTACCACAATCAATGATTATTTTTTTTGCCCGTGAGGTTTATATATTTTTTCATAATGTCAAACCTCACGAACGAAAACAGCGCCTAACCTCCATCAATACATGAATTTGAAGCAATAAATAGACATCTTTGAAGAACAACTTGGTAGAGTTTGAACCTGAACCTACACATAGAAACTCTGACCACCTCAACAATTATCCCCTTCATTCAATCCAAACAATGAAGTGAAAGTTATGACCCTAAAACACGCATAACAAGACCCCAGAAAAACGACAAAGGCTCAGCACAAATTTTCAAGAGCCAAGAAAATTCAACGAGGTGATTGATGAACCAAAACTCCCCAGAACCCCCATTTTACCAATGTTTTTTGGGGGGTGCCCTTTTTCGTCCCGGTTCAAGGGGGATTTGGAGGTGAAAAAGGGCACCCCTCAGGAAGTGAGGCGCGCTTGCTAACATTATGTAAAGAGTACGTGTGTGGGGGGTGAAGTTGGCATCGCAAGTACGCGATAGGAGGTAGAAATAGATGGTAGTTTAAAAAGGCGTAACCTTTTTCGTCTGGGTTCAGAAGTGTTGTGGAGGTGAAAAAGGGCATCCTCCAAGATGTTGTGTGAGTTCGTCACTATGTGTTGGTAATGAGTGAGCAGAGACGGTCGCGGGCGAGGCTATCGGCAGGCTTTCGTGAGGACATATACATGAATATATATATATATATATATATTACTATTTATATATGTATATAGGTAGAGTGGCATGTTCAGTCTGGCAACTCAGCAATTCATTGCTTACCCGCTGCAAGCCGTTCTCGCGCATGTCCTCGGCTAGATGGCATCGCGCGCCCCATATGGGACGCCCTTTTTGAGTCCAGCAACTAGACCTCGCCAGGGAGAAAAAAGGGGCACCCCTAAGGAATTCAAAACCTTCCGCCTCCAACGCTTGCCCGCTGCAATCTTGTCTCTCTCCTGCCTGCAACAACCGCCTAGTCCACGTGAACTCCCACCGCATAGGGAGTGCCCTCTTCAGTCCGGTTCATCATGCACCCCATGTGGGGTGCCCTTGTGAGTCCAGCAACTGGACCTTGCTACGGATAAAAAAGGGCACCCGGAAGCTATTCAGGACCTTCCGCCTCCAACGCTTGCCCGCTGCACTCTCTTCTCTCTCCTGCCCTAACCCCCCAATCCACGTGAACTCCCACCACATAGGGAGGGCCCTCTTCAGTTCTCTCACAGGCCCTCAACAGATAACATCACGCACTCTCTTCTCTCTCCTGCCCTCAACAACCCCCCACTTCACGAGAAATCCCACCACATAAGAACTGCCCTCTTCAGCCCGACAGCAACACTAAGCTTAGCCGCAGCTACAGTCTGTTCTCTTTCCATGGCCTCCTGAACCCCTCGTGATGCTGATGATGCACTCTTCGCTGTCAATTACATCACCAGCATCACAACACCCCTCAAACCACTCATTTTTCACTACCAAGTGCCCCGCCTCTTTTTGTCGCTCCCCACCAGGCTCTGAATTCACCTCTCCGGAATTGGCCACCACGCAACCACCCCCCGCACACCCCCTTTACTCACTTCGTTCGCTCCAACAACCTCAAGCCCTGCCTACCGGCTGGCTTTCCTGATATACACATGTCACAGTTACTTCACATTATGTGTAGTATACAAATTAAGCACACGTGACAGTTACGTGTGACTCCTGGCTTGATCGAACATTGTCGACTCATGCTGTTCTTTCGTCTCCGATACATACTGCACCCATGTAAATAAACAGGAACTCGGCCTGATAAACCGTAAAACAGCGACACGCACTGGTCAAATGAAAACACAACTTGAGCTGAGCTGGTCCGGTCCTCATCTCCACAGAGCTCTGCGCCATCCACCTCTTGCTTGGCGAAAAATCGTTCACATCGCTTGGAGGCTACAAACAGTCCACTTCCCGCAGGTTTGCTTCAGCAACGGCTTACATGGAAAGTTGATGAAAGTTGCACCATCTATTGCTTCAGCTTAGCTACCAAACTCCCAAAGCCCACGGTCAGCCGTGACCCGGCCGCCTTCAACTGCTCCAAACGCTCGTCAGGCGTGGGCGGCACCACCGGTGGCACTTCGGGCGGATCTTTGGGAACGGCCAATGCCAAGTGCGGCGGTGCGACCGGAGGGGCAGCAGCCTGGAGCTTCAGGCGCTCCAGGATCTTCTGCCTTCCCACGAGACGGCTCCACATGATCTGGGCAAACATGGATGTGTCTCTTCCAGATCATCTCTGTGCTCATATCGAATCTCATCTGTGCTTGCGACCCTTTGCATACTGCTCTGCTTGAAGCCTACAGACTGTGCATGATTTCTCAAATCGCTTTCTGGTCGGCTGAGTGCAAACTCAGGCTACACGAAACCGGAGCGGGCCCGATGGTGAAGCATTCACTGTGATCTACTTAAAGATGTGAAGAATGTAAGAATGACAATGGCACAGCTTTGCGAAGGGTCAAAATAAACAGTCAAATCATTCAAAAACAGGTCTCACAGTGCAGCCCAAACATAAACTGAGAAAGGGAGGTGGCAAAGGGGCTCCACTGGTTATGAACCCATCGGTTCCCCGGTGTGAGACATGCTTCGCACGTGCAACCCTCTTCCGCACAGAAAGCCAGGGTCAGGCATCCGCATGTTGCTGTGAATCATTGTGCATCTGAACATTAGATTGGAATCCACAACCGCAGCTCCACACATTCCTGGAGTCAGAAGGCTTTGGTGGCCTCTGCTTTCACTCTCTGCACATCATCAAGGATGACTACTGATGATCAGTCAGATTGTTCCTGAGGGCATTGGCGCACCAGTGACAATGGCCTCGGTTTGTGTTTTCCTTTGACCGTTTGAGTCCGGAAACAAATGCCTGATGATGAAGCAAGGAAGGACTAGCAAGCTTCAATTTATGATGGACGGTCATCCCCTCCTGTGTCGTCAACTCTACAAACGTACTCACTGCCCTGCTGCCAAGAGGCCGTGGCTTCAACCTCAAGAAGTGTGCGAGGCGCTGCTGTACCACTGCAACCGGTGGGGGTTCTTCCCTGGTATCAAACCCCAAGAATTCAGACTGCTCTTAAACCATGCAAGGGTATCCAGAGCGCATTGCGCTTCCTACATCATTAGGATGAAAGCTTGTACTCAGCCCCCAAACACTCCGGGCAGTCCTAGATTGCGAGGCAAGAAGTTGGTTTGGGGTAGAAAGGGTTGAACTTCATCAGCCGCAGCGCTATTGGAAGACAGTAGGATCATGATCGGGTACGTCCCAAAAATGCACAGCAGTTCCTCGGTTGGGGCATGTTCCTTGGTTGTGTGGTGTAGGTTTCGAGTTTCGAGGAACAGCAAGCAGTATGGCTGCATGACTGGGCCACGGACAATCTCTGGAGGCATTGGCTTGGCTTTGCCATTGCAACTCCGCTTGAAGTCGGCAATCATCTTCAAAGCAGTGTACATGTCCTTGAATTGCAAACTTGGAGGTTGTGGTATGGTGCTTGTGGGGTGTTACCCCACCTAGCATAGCAACTCAAAGGCATGGGGTCATATAATGCGGGGTTCAAGGGCAACATTGGGAGTTCAACCCGATTCTCTTCACTGGAGATCGAGAAAAGCAATGCACAATCGAAAAGCAGCTCCGTTCGATGATCTTCCTTCGAACGGCAGTGACAGGTCCAAGTCGTGAGTCCGGTGTATCTCAGCGCGTGAGTCTCAGCGCCACACAATGCGAGGCCGAGTGCCATGGACATCTGCTTGAGAAGGACGTGCCCGGGAGGCCATCTCCTGCTTCCATTGTTGTGCCTCGCATCATTGGAGTCATCCGTTGTCTCCAGCATTTGGGGTCAGACGAGACGTAGATGTCCTTTCTCTGAAAGCCAGTGTGTTCTTCTTAATTATGTATCACTCAGGGTTCTTCAAAACACAGTTTGCTGTTCACCACAGCTCGAGGAAAGAAGCTCAAAAAGCTCCACTTCAGCCAAGCTGCAGCTTGCTTGGCAGCGGCAATGCGCTCCTCAAACCCAAAGACCCAATGCAAAGGGCCTAAAGTGCCTTGGAGTTAGAAGCAATTTCCTAGCTTCAATAGAGCTATTGCAAACAGTTGTTCATAATCGGTATACGGCATAGCGTTACAACTGTTCTTCTTTCTGGTTCAATCATTGCTTCCACAGTTTTCCACAACTGCTTTCCAGCTGCAAGACTCAAGGCGGGCTAACACTAGCTAAAGCGATCTACCGGTTTGACCCTGCCACTGTCTCCTGCTCTCGCTTGTCATCATCATCTTCGTTGCCAAAGGCAAATGCATTGGCAAGCTTCGCTTTTCTTCTCTTCTCCTCCTTGAAAACGTAGTGTTAAACTGCAGGCTGCAAGACCTCTAAACTCTGAACACTTTCACTTGAATACTTGAACGTACAACATAGTATCAACCAACCCAGAAGTCACTAAGAATCTTCATGCATATGAGTGCTGCCTTCCTTGTGCCAGCAAAGTAACATGCGTTTGTCAAGCCGAACCTGCAAAAACATGTAAAAACTCCCCCCACACCTCGAAACGCTTCTGCTTCTCTTGGGCTGCTTGGCGCTTGGCCGCCTCATACTCTTGAGTGGCCTCTTCGGACACCACCTGAAGACCGAATCACAACATCGATCTGCTTGATCACTGCATCGATCGGATTACTGATGCCGAAACCTTATCCAGCAGGTCATGTTCCATGTCAAAGAGCAAAACTAGGCTTCGGACCCAACCACCTGCATCGTCCCTCAGCTGCGCAGGTGGTCTCTTCAAATCTTGCCTACTGGTCCTACTGTCGACAAACCTTGCGTCACCCGGCCCGGCAGAGAATGTTCCTGAACTTTCCCATTTGGCAGAACTGTACAGTATGCTCAGAACGCCCAAAAAATTGGTGGATTGCTGGAACCCCACGCCCTCAGGCTCTCACTTGCCAGATGACGAGGAGATCCAACGCCCCTCATCCTCTTCCAAGGAACCCACAGCCTGAGTCAAGGAAAAGCCGGTCAGGTCAGCGGCCAAGCGAGCACACCAGTGTGCGCCAAGTCAGCCAATCCCCATACCACCAGAAAGGAAAATGAGCAAAGGCATGGAAAAGCCTGAATCATACTTATCATTGACTGATCATGTTCTGCCCAAGAAGTCCTCCTGGCCATTGGCAGGAAACCCCCACTCCTACTGCCTTGGGCCGCCGGACGGCGGAGCGGTCCGCATATCTTTCGCTGTCACCTGGTGTCGACCCTATAAAGCCACTGGAAGTTCCAGAGTCCCTTTTGATTGGAAGTGGTTGATTGCTTTCTGGACCTCACCGCGAAGCTGATCTGCCCGTGGTGTTTTCTGCATTTTGGCCCTCCTGCGGCTTCTTCTTCTTCTCGCAGAGCTTCTTCAAATCGCCTGCCAACGTCTTAAACGAGGAAAACCGGTTCATGCACAGGATCACCCCGCTCACACCGCGCCCAGAACTAAACGTCAATCGCATCAGGATGTCCCACCATCGTCGCTCCATGAACCCAAAGATTCTCAACTAACAGCTGCAGTCATCAACAGCTGCAGTGGACTCCAGCATCCTCATCTTCAACTAGATGTTGAGGTACCCAACCATCTTGGCATCAGTCTCTGGCATCATCTTGGGTAGAGGAAACAAGGTGAATCAATGTGAATCCCTCAGAATGCAAGGTCTGTTCAAGTCCAGCCGCCCGCTTTGGCCCAGCCTCCGGGCCCCTCGGCTGGGCTCGGCGGGCCGCCGAGGCACCTGGCGCATGCCAGCCGCCGATGATCGTTCGAGCACCGGTGTCCGGGGTGCATCATCATCTTCAACGGATGTCGTTGGGTTTCTCACCACATGTTGTGGCACCAACCCAGCCAAAAGGGCGCCTCCTCCGAGCGCCGCCGGACATCGGGCGGGGAGCGGCTGCGGCGCTCGGGAGACCTGGCAACAAGGTGCGGAGCGAGGCGGAAAGAGGTGAGGGAGCGGCCCTCGGTCGATTGGGCGTGGTAATAGATATATAAGTGTTTCTATATATGTATAGTATTTATATAGTATGTGTACATAGAGAGAGGGAGAGTTAAAAACGCAAACTGACTTGTGGTGAAGTTGAGAGCCAACTTGCACCGTCTTTGATGGCCCAAATGGAAGTGACTCGTCCAAAAACTCACAGCTTGATTGGCAAAGACTTGCAAATCGTTCCAGCTTCTGAAGGAGGTGATGCCTTGAAAACGGACGCAGCGGGTGTGAAAATAGTGAAGCCTTTTCATGTGTGTAGCTAGCATGGCCTTCGTTGATGTTTGAAGTCCTTCCTTTAAAAACGAAACGAAAACACCCGGTGATCTCCAAATCCCGGTAGACAGACCATCCTTCCCTTCCTTGTCATGTCGTGCAGTTTGACCCCTGATCTCGCATGGCAGCACCTCTCTTTGGCGTGTCTCCGTTCCTGCGATCTCAAGTCATCCCTAGTTGGGTCTGTCTATCCTGTCTAAGGATAGGGGCCATGGTTCGGTACCGTCTACCTCTTGCCCTCAGTTTGAGAAACGGGAGAAACCCCCTCATTTCCGACAGTCTAGTTCTGGTTGCCGGGTTGCGCCACAAAAGATTGCAAGCAACAAAGAAGTGTTTTCAACAGAAACCTTTCACCCGAAGATACGCCAAACGCCCTCAGCTCCCCAGCATGACCCAAAACGGTTCCAAGATGAACCAAAAGATCGGAGAACATCTCTAAATGAGTCAACAAACAAGCCTCATCTACCCTGCCAAAAGCCTCTGAGAGAATCTGGTCCATTCTTCTCATCTTGATCCACAGCAAGTTGCATATTTGGGGATCAGCACGTTTCAACCTGAGCCACAAATCCGCAAGATACGTTCCATCTTCTTCCCTTCCTTTTGAGCTACGCCGCACCCCGGTCCTGGCTCTTCTCCCGTCTAGGTCGGGGACGCTCGGCACGCTCGGGGCGCTCGGCACGCTCGGGACTCGGCCTCCGCCTCGGCGGAACGGAACAGCGGAACAGCCGGAACCGCCGGAACGACCGGCGAAAGTGTGACATGGAGACCGTCAAATGCCGTTTTGAGGGGGGGCACCTCTATCTTTGAGATATGACATGGCATCTAGACCATACGACGAGACTCTATAGCTATAAGAGTACGTGTATATATACATATATGCATTTGTTTTAGTAACCAAGGCAGCAAAAGAGGCACCGCAACCTTTTGCAAGTTGGTTAGCTTTCCGTCCATGGATCAGGTATGTTAAAATAGTCAGACTGGGATGGTAACCAAAACCGCCACCGATCCCAGTTGACCAACCCGGAACCATGGAGGAAAAACGACACCAAGCACCCTGACGGAGAACGGGTCCATGGGTGTCGTGCACTATGAGTTAGAAAACTACACAAAATATCCACTCCTCCCTCCTGCGCAGCTCGGGATTTCAGGGCCCACGGCGCCTGTCCCTACACCTATGAGGGAGGAGTGGTCGGATAAAGTTCATGAAACACCCAATTCATCAGTGTGTAGCTCTTCAAGGGAGCAGTAGTGCGAAGGCGCTTCGCCGGATTGAAGCCATGCGGATCAGGGTGAATCAGCTCATCCGCCCGAGTGTTCAAGTCCCATTTCATATAAGAAGGTGGTGCCAATTGGCAGCCTTGTTGGTGGAGTGAGAGGACCAGCTGCATTAGAATTCCCGCCGTCGGCATTTTCCGAGTAGATTGATTCAGCATCGCAAAGATGTTGCCCTGGTTGTCCGAAATCAACGGTATGCGGAACTGAAGTCTATTGCGAACCCCCTTCTCCATCAGGAAAGATGCCAAAAGAAGAGAGCCCAGCATCTCCAAAGAGGGGATGTTGGCTCCTGGATTGGCCTTCAACAAGACCCATGGAAAGTGGGATCTTTCCAACAAAAGTTGGAACCACCAGACGTCCTGTTTCTGGACGGGGTCTTCAGCACTGAGCCATCCCCCCGCGTAGCTGCCTTAGTCACAGGCACTGGCATCGCTGGCACCTCGCCAGGCGGAGGGGGGCAGAAAGCCCACTGAGAAGAGTAGCAGCCGGCTTGGTCTTCCGCTGGATTTGACGGCTCCTTTCCACTGCCATAGTGGTTGTAGCAACCGGTTGGATGACAAAGCCCAACCAGGTTTCCACCGGCGCCGCCGAGGATGGAGGAGTCGCAGGATCAATGTCCATGGGCCGCATCCACAGCCGCCGCCGCAGGGGTAGGAGTGCTCAAGGTCCCATCCGCCACCGCCGCAGCACCTCACCCAGGGGTGCTTCAGAGCCCGCGGCGTCTGCACCCCGAGGCGGGGAAAGCCGCAGCTGGCCCATAGCTTCATCCATCTCCTTCATCTTGGCCTGCAGGGCATCTTGAGTAAGTAGCTCACACTTGACGTAGTGCGAGTCCCCGGATGTTTCCAAAGCCGAGGGCTCCGTGGAGGAGCCGGCCAACGCGTCAGCGGCACGACCAGCTCCTTCCAGGATGGTCTCCTCAAAGCGGCCGATCTCCTTCTCCCTTTCCTCGGCCTCAGCAGGGTCGAGAGTGAAAGAGGTCACCGAAGGTGCCTCCTCCAAGAGGTCCCAGTCAAAGATTCCAGAGCCGGAGGCGGGCGGACATGGCTGCAAAGGAATTGAATGAGGGGAGAGATCAGGAAATGTTCACTTTGAGTTCGCAGGCTTGAGCCAAAATGGCATAGCATTTTGGCTAGTGAAATGTATTCCTGAAACATAACCTGCTTTCCACAAGTTCCAAGCACGTTCTATATAATATATATATATATGCCGTGCCACATATATCCACATACTATGTTTATTATATGAATGTTCTATATGTCATGTGAAACCATGTAAGTTGCGTGTGGAGGTGGGACTTGGGTCACACGTGCGAGAAACAACAGGGACACGGAACTCCAGAGGCACAGCCATCGCACATCACAACGCTACCCCAGCAACCGGTGAAGTGGGAGCCAAAGCTGTTCCACTAGGCCCAGCTTTGGCTGTTGAAGTCGGTTGAAGTCCTTTACATCTCTTTTTGCAGTGGACATGTCGCATGACTGACATGTTTCCAACAATTTCGGCCTGCTCGCTTTTTCTCGAACTGGCTCACGCTCCTTGTACTCCTCAGGGTACCTAACATCCAAGCTCATTCAACAGAAAAATGCATGCTCAAACGTGTGTTTTCCAGAAAGAACCCCTTAGCAACACTTGCTTTGGCAAGATCTGCCCCAGGGCACTTTTGTTTTTGCTCCAGAAAGCGGGCCACCTCTTCTTGGCTTTTGCGCAAAGCCTCGCTGCTTTCCACAAGAAGCATGCGTTTTTGGTGCACTGGCACAAGGCGGAAAGGTCCCATCCAACCTGCACCAACCAACTACTCACCCTTTCGTTAACATCGCACGTCTGGTGAGCAACAACATCAGCGCCTTTTCCCGTTCTTCCTCGTCTTTTTTTCGCTTCCTTGCTGGACGAAGACTTCCGTGCGTGGGAGGACAGGCTCAGCCAGAATGACCCTCAACTTGCTTAAAAATTAGATGTGACCAGCTGGTTGCACCACTGCAGTCAGGTATCAAGAGCTTCTCTTTCTCTTCCTTCTCGGCTTTCCTGTCCCGCATGGAGGTGACCTGCCATGTCATGGTGATCACAAAGCTTCGAGCAACAGCAACTAGTGGGATGTGTCATGATGTGTAATGATGTGTCAAAAACCGTGGGAAGTTTGTTTTGGGATCCACAACGGATAAAACGGACATCAAACGTCGTGGATGTCCTCGGTCTCCCTCCGGATCCGGAACTGAGGCTCAAGCCATCCCTGGCCATTTCTTGTTGCCTTTGTACGACATGGCGGCCAAAGAGACTGGAAGACTGAAAGAAAAGGCTGATTTGAGTGAGGACCTGGAGTTGCTACGCAGAGTCTTCACAGAAAAATGGCTCACCTTGGATCTATGGCAAGGTCGGCGGTTCGTGAAGTTCCGCTTCACGTAGCTAGTTCACGGGATGCTGGGATTCCACTGCTGGGTCATTGGCTTTCTACATGTGTCGGTGCAGATTCAGCACTGGCTCTGGCTGTGACGCGCGACTCCAGCCAAAATGCAGCGACTCTTGAGCTTTCACAGCAATGCCTTTTGCTGTCACTCCGATATAGATCTTTATATAGATCTCAGCAAGCGAACCCACCGATGCCTCGCATCTGCCAGTCACACACACAAACGTGCCTCTCTCTGTTGCTTGGATGTCCAACGTGCCTCACAGCAGGTAGCTTCGCAGCCCGATTCGGAGCCGTCTCGGGCAGGGCCTGCATGCTGTTGTCAAGTAGCACGACAACGTGCTAGGTTCATTTGGTCAGACAAAATCTTAGTGATGTCAGTCACTACAAGTCCTAGTTACTCGTTCTTGGAAGAACTTCTAGAACGGAGCAGCTGTCTGGTACTTCTTCTTTAATATATAACCCTTTGGAGGGAAAGATTGACGACCAAGTGCCGGGAGCAGTGCAGTGTCGAAGAAGCAACTGCTTGCGATATATAGATTTAGCAAATGCTTGCAGTGTCTGTCTTGCAAGAGCTTTCCAAGTTCCAGTTGGCACCTTGCAGTGTCTGGTGCAAACTGGAACTTTGCCTTCATCCCTCTGTGCAGACGCGCAAGTTGACCAAGCAACTTCTCATACCCTGCATATGTCCTGAATGCCAAGCACAGCGATTCGGCCAAGTGAGTCAAAGGAGTTCTCGGCGCACCATCCGGAAGTCAAACAGAGTCCAATTCACCGTTCAAAAGGGCCTGACATTGTTGGACACGCAGCTGCGCTCACTGGCGCTTCGCCGGACCCAGATTGGCTCATGTGACGGCCAGGCCCTCCGTGCGAAGAGGGTGGCCGTCGCCGACGGAGTGCACCGAAGCGATCCCCCTTTTTGTTCCTTTTTTCGCCCGAACCGAACTCCATGGTCCGAAGGGGCTCCGAACTCGAGAACGAGATGCACGTCTCACACTCCGAACTCGACACCGTCGAAAACCGAAGTGGGCTTCACGTTCCCCGAGCTCGGTTCGCCTACGCACGAATTGGTCATCGACGTGGGCTGCTGCCGACAACAGCCCACAGATGCCCCCCACAGCCCTCCCCCCGTTCACCGACGCAGATCGTCGCGGTATCACCAAGCGCTCCGATCGTGACCCACGGGAAGCGGGTGCTGCAGATTCGCCTATGGTCCAATTCTGTGGTGATCATTTGCTCAGTTCCGGTAAGTGCCGCAAAGGAATTTGGGATTCCATGGAATTCCTAAAGTATGTGTGACCCAAGAGGCTTGGTGAGTGTTCCGATGTGAATTCCTCAAGTCTACCATGTCTCAGTCTCATCTCGGTTTCATCCTGTCCTTGGGAAAGGAGAACATCTGCCAGCCTACAAGTGGAACCTTCGTCAAGGCCTACATCCCGTGGAACACCCAAAGAATCTTGCTGCTAGTCTCCTGCGCCATCTAACTGTATCTTTACAATTTATAATGCAGTGAGCTGTTTGGATGTCCAGTGAGGATTGTTGGTTGGCTGTGCCCCAAGCATCAATCGCATGTCCAAAATCGCAGGAAACCAGCAACTCCCTCGCTTCATTCACAGCGAGCCTCTGCCTGCCATGACACCCCGCCGGTATCCGCACTACAATCCCCGAGAAGCAAACCACAAAATGTAGATTGAATTGTCTGGGATTTCTCGATGAAACCTCGTCTTGCATCATGGCAGGCAGTTTGGGTCGCCCAATAGACATGAGGAGAAAAACCTCGGAATCATGGACCACTGCACTGCAGGGATCAGAACTGTCGTCCAGCCACGTCATGAGAATCGGTTGGTTCAATCCTGGTCGCTTCAAGTCCAAATTTCAGCGCTAGGCCACGAAAATCCGGGTGATCTCTGATTGTACACTGACGTCTCATGGAAGTGGAAAACTACTCTTCGAAGAGGAACATCGAATGAAAAGCAATTTTCCACATCCATGTGACGTCGACGTGTTCGTCGGAGTGTCGCCTTTATTGCAAAAAACATATATATTTGAACCTTCAAGCTTTTAACCAACAAAAACCAGACCGTGGAGAGCGCCTGGAGGTACCCGCGCAACCGTTTCGGAACCACAAAAATGCTACATTTCCAAGTGATGGTGATGTCCTGACACTCAGCACAACGAACAAATACGTTCCACAGCTTGGTATAGAACTTCCGGTCACGTCGAGTGGTCACGTGGACTCACGTGGTCTGGTGGTTCCATGCTGAAACTTCTCCTCATGTTGATGCCCAAAGCATCAAGTACATCTGGTTGACCTTGCCCGTGACCTCCAATCCTTCTGGACCCGATCTGGCTGAAACTTCTCACTGGGCAAACTCATCCACACGGCGCAATCGCCATCTCCGGCCCAACTCTCCGCACACAGCAAAGTCGTTTGGGCAAAGGTCCAGTGGGGCAGATTCTACAGATCTTTGTGTCCTCTGATTGGGGCAACAGATCAGGTGTCAACGTTATTGAGGTTCTACTTCTTGGCGATCTCTTTTTGGGCGCCTACATGGCCCTGCGCTCCGGCATGCCGGTCGTTGTGAATTGGAAGGTCGTTCGTCTGACCTGGGGCCTTTGGCGGCCTGAAGCGAATGACCAAGAAGAACCATAACCAGGACTCAGCAATGATGGAATGACAAAGGAGCATATGATGATTTGCCTTTTGTTTCCCGATTTACATGTTACATCGGGGAGTGATTCCAATCTCACCGCTCACAGCCCACTCTCTTTTGCCGCAGAACATTTGTTCGGATCCTGCGCAGATCCCAACTCCAGCCCTGGTCAGGCCCGGCGGACATCTGAAAACAGCTGATCTAGGCGCTGCCTAATGTTGCGTCCATAAGAATTGCACATGAGCAAAGCTTAGGGTGGCATGACCCCCCAAAAGCTAGATGTCTGCATTTGTTTGCCCTGTGGCCAACCACGCTTTCTTCCCACAACACTGTCAGTTCTCAGCTGAAACCCTCTGTGAAATTCAGCTTGACCACCATTTGCTCTAGCGGGGTTTCTTCCCGAAGAAGTCCAAAAGCAACATGTCAATTCCTCTCTGCTGAGCTCAGAAGTAACAACAGCCCAAAGGTCTTGGGAATGATCGCACAAATGCTGAAAAAGACACGATTTGTTTGACATGTTCTTGTACCGTATGTCTACGATAATATTGTATATATAATGGTATATTTGTTGTTTCGGTGAGATACCCCAATGACACCAAAGACATCCCTGGTTGTACAGGGACTGTATGTTGGACTCCAAAGACATCCCTTATGTTTGACTCCCTTCCGCCAATGTCAGGACTTCTTCAGGACTTCCATGGCTACCTGGCATCCTCTCAGACAGGTGGGTACCCCACCGGCGGATAGCCTGGTGGTGGATAGCCTGCTGGATAACCTGCGGTTTGAACAAGCGAGGCCACTGCGAGTTCAACATCTGGGAGGAGTGTGAAAAACTCGGACAGTCACGGTGAGAAGCTAGCTGTGACTTGAAGCCCTCGATGTGACACTCACCGTCCACAGTTCATGTACACTCACTTCTTCGAGCTACCTGGATAGCCAGCTGGAGGATAGCCAGCCGGAGGCGGATAGCCAGCAGGTTGAGGCGGTGGGGCCTGCCAGGTTGTGACAGCATCCTCTCGTCAGCCCGCACAGCTGTTGGATGTGACACACTTCGATTACATGAAATTCTGATGTCAACTTCTGCAAATGATAATGTCCCTGCTGTCTAAAGGAGCACTGGCGCGCATACCTGCATCATTCCGCGCCTGTGCTGCTGGTTGTGCCAAAGAGTAGTCGTATGCTGGATAGCCTCAGACTAGCTGGTTGACCAGAATCATCACGAGGGACAAGATGAAGTAAGGTAAAGGTGGAAGGTTGAGTTGATTGAAAGATATTAAAAGGACAGATCTGAAAGCAAATAACCCCCGCGGAATTTGTGTGAAATGGTCCGTGCTGACCGCGCCTGGTGGAGGAGCAGCTCCATAACCCGGTGGAGGGTAGCCTCGTTCGTTCCAATTCCCGGAATGGTGTTCAGCAAAAGAAGAAATAGTTAGAACAAAACAATGAAATGGATAGAAATTGATAAAACCATTCATTAATGTGTGGTGTTCCGATTTTTATTTCCTTCAAATGGATCAATAAGGAAGGAAAAACAAAACAATTTCCTGGAAGAATCAGAGAACGGTTTCAGAGGGTTCACACAGACATGTCAGGAATGGCCGCTCTCAAATGTTCGCGTCTTCTTACTGTAAGATCCTCTTGTTTTTGAGCAACCCTGTGTGTGTTGGGTCTATCCTATTACCAGTAACAGTGGATGATGATGATGATGATGATGATGATGATGATGATGATGATGATGATGATGATGTTACAGGTAATAGGACAAACCCAATGCATATCTTTGACGAATTTCTTCACTCTCAACGTATCCACAGGACTCCACAGGCCAAGGAAAGGTCCTGCTTTGCTGCAGGACTGGAGACGATGGGGCGCATATCCACACTTCGTTTCACACAGGCGAGGGTTCGCTTCCTGGAAGAACCCTTGCAAAAACTGCGTCCGTGCGAGCTAGCATCTAGTAGCTAAGAAAAACTATGCTATCCCACCCCCAAAAAGAATCCACAGAACGGAGAAAAAGAAACTTGAAGAGTTCCCCAATGCTCCCAGTCCCCTTGTTCTTATTTGCTCTCTCTCCCTCCCAATCCTGAAACGAAATCAAAAGAACACATCTAGAATTTTTTTGGACAACACCCAAGATGTGTTGAAGACCGGAAGTCCTGTACCACCTGAGGCCAACCCCACAAGCTGACCGCTTGGAAGCAGCTGGTTGGTGCAGAAGTTCGTCAGTCAGACAGTCTCTCCATGTGGGGAAGAAGTCCGTCTCTCAAGAGACAGTTCAGGACCCACAAGCCTGCAAAAGTGAATCGAACACGTGCGTGATTCTCCCGCCCCAATTTTGAGTTGCTTGGACTTGGACATGAACACTTCTAAACATCTACAATTGAGACCTAACAAGTCTGGTATGAGGCCAAATCATTGAAACTGTCTTTTTATGATGTCAATACGTATGTTTTTGTTAAAATGAAACCAATACCACCAAATGTATGAAATCATTTAGAAAAGAAACGTAAATATAGATTGGCCCTGTGAACAAACCATAAATTTGTCCATACCATTGTTCATATTAGTTTTGTTCATAAAATGTTCATATGTTTTTCATATTGCTTTCATATTGTATCGAAATTTATGAAAAAATATGTGAATATGTGTTTTCAA